CCGCCGCCGGCCCGCTGCCCGAGTCCGTTCTCCTGCTGCTCGGCGTAGCGGCTCCGGCCTCCGTACGGCCCGTCCGCCCTGGGGGGTTTCGCCAGGAGGCCGCCGCCGCAGTCCGGGGGCTGGCTCTTCTTCAGGGAGCCGTTCCTCAGGTTCTTCAGCGTGAGAGAGATGCAGACGTCGCCCACGGCGAGCTTGGCGCAGGGCAGCTCGAACAGCTGGGTGGTCCTCTCGGGGCAGCAGGAGGACCACCCCTGCCCAAAAACAAAGAAGGGGTACTCCACCAACACTTCCACGCTGACCTGCGGGAAGAAAAGTGACAGCACAAATCCCTCAGAGCTTTCCCGTGAACTAGTCTCGGCACCGTGCACACCTGGCAGAATAAAGACATTATACGGCACATTTCATCCTGCTCTGCCGGAAAGAGTGGGGTTTAATTTCAAAAGAAATAATTTGCTTCTCCTTTCTGGAGCACTCTCTGCATGCATGAACTTCAAGCACAGTGACTTTACGCCTGAATGATACTGCACCACACGCTTTCGTTCCAGCGGCATTTCGGCATTCTTTATTTCACACCCACGCAAATCTGGAGTTGCCGGATGTTTATTTCCAACCCGGCTCGCAACAATGGTTGTCATACCCCACGTGGACAACAGGGGGCGCCGGGCACGCTCCCCTAACCTGCCCACCCATCAGGTTCATTTGTGTTTCGGCACGCTCTGAAGCCTCACAGGAGATACAGCGCTTACGAAACCCCAGTCCTGCTCTTTGTTTCTTTATTATCATCCCGTCAGCTGGGCCTGCTGATCGGGGATTTGCCTGAAGAAATTCCTCCATCGTTGCTACAAACCGCATCACCTGAGGGTTCTGCCAGCAAAACCGGCAGAACTGCTGGTCAGCAACACTTCTCAGGCACCCTCGTGGACTAATATTTACACATTTAAAAATCTTTCTCGGAGCATAATAAATTATGTTCTCTCAGTGCTGCCCTTCAAAACACTTCCAGTATGGAAAACCATTCACTGAGACACTGAGCACCGAACACAACACTCTCTTTGAAGCAAATATTAAGAGGTAGTGTACGTGTGAGACAGGGATTGAACCGCAGTACTGTATCTCCTCCTTTCTCTATTCACTATGCCTGTTAATCTCCGATTCCTCTATTCAGACAATTCATCAGTTCTTCAGAAACAAGATTTTAACTAAAAAAAGACACCAGTTAGGTCTTCTATAGCCATATCTGCTTCCTGCACTCTTCTGAAAACTTTCTGATTCTAAAGCAATTTGTCATGGTGCCTGATATGCTTGTCATTTCTGCAGGTAGCCAGTAGCCAAAACACACCGCAGTTCAAAACTAAAGAGCAGTGAACCACCTTAGACCATGCATACATACGTTTTCCAAATGTATGGGCCTATTTAGTGTTTCTTTGTAAATTGTGAATCATGTAAAACATGACTGAAATTTGCACTGCATTTCCCCCCTAAAAATAAGACGCTTTTCTTTAACTACAGTAAGTCTACTTAACTAAAATTACTATCAAGCAATGACAGTCTAAAATGACTCTTTTTAAATAAGACTGTAACTCCTGCTATTAAATGTGATATCCCTATAGCCAGTTTCTTAATTCACTCTCAGTTAACCAGTCTGTAATGAAAGGTTTTATTTACTTTCAGAAGGCACAGGTGAAAACACAAAAAATGTACAGTATTTTCAGGTTTAAACAAGGTGCTGTAGCAAGACCCTTTCTTTCATTCTCACCCTAAAGGCAGGAATTTGTTCTGTGCTACTACTGCATGTCTTAGTTTTGCTCTTCCTTTGTGCTGCTCTAGTTATTTTTCTCAAGGTAACGAATGCTTTCACAGGTGCCGCTGAACTTGCAGAAAGCTTAAACACGTTGGTCTGTGTTTTCTCAGACGTCTTTCTGCAGGGGCTGGGAATAGTTGAAACCGATTAAAGAAGAAGATGCAGAATCCTTGAGGTTTAACAGACTAAACAGACCGAGGTCTTTAGACACAGCCTTCTGTAAAGTGGCAGCGACTTCTGGCTGTGAGCAACAGCAAGCCATTTCATTGGTCTGAAACAGCTTTGGCACCTTGTCCAGGAAAAATTACACCAATTCAGGACTCAAGGATCTGACAGAGAATTGTCGGTGGTATGGAATGAATCATAGACTGCGCAGAAGTGCTGAGTAAAAAAATATATATTTCACGTTCCTTCATTCATTACACCTCTACACTGTATATCGAACAGGCCAAGGCCTACCAAGAATTCTAATAATACTCAATGGAGCACAGAACAGAGTTTGTATATTTTGTCAACTACAGCTAATGTTGTGTTTTTTTCTGAGATCTTTATGAAATTGTAGAGATGCTGGGAAAGCAGTAGAGGTGTTTAGTATACAAATAAACAAGTGACCATTAAACAAGTGATTATTAAATTGACGGTGGAGGACATTCAAGGTAATGCAAGTACTGTACAGTACATGCATAACAAATAAAGACTAGGTAAGGGGTGACTGCTCAGATGGGGCTGATGTAATTACTGAAGTACAAAAAGGACCACTTCTTTTCATCATCTACACAGTCAGTAGCAAGTAAACTAGTTCAGTATGCAGATAATACCAAAACAGGAGAATGAGGAAATTCTGCCAAAGCAGCAGTAAAACTGAAAATGATTTACACAAGAATTAATACTGGCAGACAACGTTTAATACAGACAAGTGCAGAGTGATAAAATGCAGGTTGCAAAACCGAACTACAAAATAAGATGGGAAATACTGAACTTGAAGAAGCCACCCATAAACAACAAAAACTGACATTGTTTTCTGCCTCTAGGCAATGAGGAAAAACAATCAAAGAAGCAAAATGCAAGAATATACAGTTAAAAGTATATAATTTAACTTAAAAATATATTAAATTCTAAAATGCACAATACAAGATATCATTAGGAATATTGTACATAATTATGGTCACAAAACTAAAAAGACTGCTTCTCTAGGATCAATCCAGGGCTTGAATCCCTAATCCCAGGTTCAGACGAATGCCCTACAATGACAGATTATTAAAAAATCTTTGTTAGTCTTGAAGAAAAAGAAGGAACTTGAGTCGAAAGGTACTCGCAAAAGACATAAATTGTGGAAACCCTATCTTTTTTCAAGAAGCAACTACTGTAGATGACATCTTCAGATCAATTACAGTAAAATGCTAGCAAATAAATTAGATGGCCTTTCATTTGTAATTTCTATAGTGTTCTTTTGTTCTAAAATCTTGCATTGCATCTCATCCATTTTTATCTTTGTCTCTTGAAACAACGAGGCTTCAATTGTTTCTGAATGAATTCAGATAAAATCCTTTAGCTAATGTTTTCATGCCCACTTATCCCTTAACTGCACAGTCTTTAATTTGCAAAATTACAATCCCAGCTGGTATGGACATAATTAATAAGAATTTGCTGGCAATTAAATAAGATAATGCACACTTTGTTTATTGATAGGATGTATTCAGATACATTTGAGACTTTTAGAATTTTCCTTAGAATTTGTGTGCAATATCACTAGTATATTCACTAGTAAATATCACTAATTTCCACAAACGAAGAGATATTTTTGTCCGAGAAAATTTAGCTCCAACAGTTCAGACCACTTTTCCCAGATTCTTACACATACACAGATGTGGGATTCACACCTGTTTTGAACATTTTTCTTGATCTCCTGGAGATCTATAACAAAAAGCTGGTAGCCCATTTGTTAAGTACTGTTAAACCTGGATTATTATGCCTGGATTTTAGAAGGTCTTTTTAGAAGTTTTCACATAATTAGTACAGTATGAGCTGCCTGTTGAAATAACACATACCACACAATACAATACAGTGCTCAGAAATGCTCCTAAATTCACAGTAGGCAAACTGCTTGACATCTTGCCACTTTTTCTGGGGTTTAGCATTTCTGAAAACGAAAAGGCTACACGCCTGAGGCACTTATCACTAAGCTTGTCAAGGTCCGCTAACGTTCCAATTTGATTTCCATTAAAGTTCAGCTGCCAGCAGAATTTCTCTCACCTGAGCTCGGTGCTCCCCAACGGCAAACTGGATGATGGCGAAATTGGGGGTCTGGCTGCCATCGATGCGCTCGACCGTGCTCGAGTCAATCTTGAGGTCACTGCTGATCTCGGCACTCTGGATGAAGTCCTCCGTCCTCAGGTCCTCCACCCTCTTGAGCTCGCCATCAGCCAGCTGGATGATGGAGCCCTTCATGAAGTAGGGAGGCAGTGAAGAGGAGGAGGAGGAGGAGGCCGGAGGCAGGGGCAGTACGCTTGCGGGAGCAGTGGCCGGGACTATGGGTAGGTGGAGCTGGGCCTGCACCACGGCAGCAGTGTGGTAGGGGGCAGGGGGCTGTGGCTCGCTGGCCCCAAAGGGCTCACACTTGGGGACCGTGGTGGTGACGAAGGCGTGAGGCACTGTAGCGAACTGCTGGGACGTCGTGGCGAGAGAAGGTCCGGATTCCAGCTCCCCGCTGCTGCCACTCACCGGTATGAGCAAGGGCTGGTTCCCAGGAATGACCAAGTGCTGGGGCAGGTTAGCGTGGTAGCCAACAGACGGCTGCTGCTGCCCACTCCCAGCGATGTAGCCGATGATGGGCGGCTGCGTGGCGGCGGGGTAGAAACCGGCAGCAGAGAGACCCAGGGAGACCTGCTCGGTGGCGTTGTGCGTGGTGTGAATGACCGTGTGGGGAGAGAGGGTGGTGACCGTGGCTTTCAAGCCGTCCGCCCCCAAGTGCGACGACGACGATGACGACGACAAGGTGAAAGACGATGCCCTGGCCACCGGCTTGCCCAGGCAGAGGCCCCCCGCCTTGTCGCTGTTTGTCGCGCACGACGGCGATTTCTCCGAGGACATCTCCAAGTCGGCACCGCTGTTGGCTTGGCTGTTGGGCACCAGCATCAGTGAGGTCCGTAGCCCTGAGGTTTCGTGTGTACTGTAGTCGGCAGGGAGCATGACGTGGCGGGCCTCGTAGTGGTGCTGCTGCTGCTGCTGCTGATGCTGATGCTGCTGCTGGTGGTGATGGTGGTGATGGCCAGAGGCCCCTTTGGCCTTGGCCAAGCCGGCCTCGGGGGACAGGCCGTAGCGCCTGCCCTTCTCCAGCTCGCCGTTCAGCATCTCCCGCATCCGCCCGTCCTCTTTTTTTGCCGAGGGCCCGTCCGCGTACTGGACCACCACCTGCGAGGGCCCGCTGAGGGCCAGGGCGTGGGGGATGACGGCCGGATGGGAGTGGAGGTGCATGGAGAGGTGGGCGGGAGGGGAGGACACGGCGCGGGGGTTGACGCCCAAGGGGGAGCCGGCGATCTGGACGTACTGATTGGCCGGCTGGCCAGAGGTGGGCGGGGGCGTCCCGCCGGCGGCCACCAGCCCGGGCGACCGGCCTAACGAGTGGTGCTGGTCAATTTTGGAGGCCTGGGAGATGACGGCGGCTGTATAGGCCTCCAGGTGGGCACGCTGGGCAGGGGGAGTGGGGGCAGAGGTGGCTGGTGGGGAGATTAGCTGGGAGGAGATGTAGCTGGTATACGGCCCCGTGTAACCAGAGCTAATGAACTGCAGATTGGGCGGCAGCTGGGTGTACTGGATGGTCCCACCTGGCTGAGAAAGGGATGATGGGTAGACCGTAGGGAGAGCAGCCACAGTGGCCCCCGACTTTGGAACCCTGGAGGAGGAGGAGGAGGAATACTCCACCGTGGCGGCGGCGGCGAGCGTCTTGTACGAAGAGCTGTCCTGCGTCAGTCCCGTCTCGACCGGGGTGCCACTGTGCCGCACGGCGCTGTTATGCCTGCCGGCCACGTTGGCGAGCCAAGCCAGGTTTTCTCCCCGCTGGCTCTCGCTCGCGGGGGCCACGGCCACGGGCTTCTCATCCGAGGGCAGGTTGCTGGCTGGGATCTCGCGCTTCTTGGGGGGCAGGCATTCATTGCTCCGTTCCTGGTTGGACTTCATGGTTGTGCAGCTGGCTCTCTCGCTCTCTCTTGCTCTCTCCTCTCTCTCTCTCTCTCTCTCTCTCGTTTTTCCCTTCTCGGCACCAGGTTCCCGCCACCCACTGGCTAGCTCTGTGCTGGAGGTCTGTCTTCAGTGTCTGACCGGCACGGATCTTAATCTGATGCACGGGAAGTCACGCCTGCTGTCAGTGTGTGATCCATGGACTTCATGAGGAATCATTTCCCACTGACCGCAAGCCCGCACAGCCACTCCAGGAATCTGCAAGCAATGGACAAGCAAAGATCAGCAATGGTTTTAATATGCTTTTTTTGGGGGGGGGCAAAAAGTCTCAGACCATATATATAAACTTTCAGCTGACATATGACAACATATTGGCCGCCCACCCTGGTCAATTATCCCACCCAAAAATACAATTATCACTGCCATCCGAGTACAAGATTAAGGTAAACCACACATCAGATCCCCTGCTACAGCCATGCAACCATTTGCTTTCAGCAGTAAGAAAAATAACACAAATCCATTTTATCCTTGGAGATATTAAGCGCAACAGACACACAGTGTAGGTCAGTGCGGCGATTACACCAGGTGAAGACTGTTTTAAAAACACAAAAAAGTTAAGCAGGTCAGAAAGATAAGGGATTTGAACAGAACTGCCTGGAACAGCATTCCATCTCAAATAAGCCCGTGTTAAGATATAGATATTTTTAAAAAGATACTGTACAGCAATACTCAACAAACACTAAAAAGCGATTAACCTTATTTTGACTAAACTGGCAAGGTTAATTCCTAAACATTTCCAAGCAATTTCACATACCCTTCATTATCACTAATTGCAACTATTTACATTTATGTAAGGAAATCTAGGACTACAGCTCATCAGAGCCTGTGAAATGACTTCCTAAGAGCAGTAGTAGGAGAATTTTAGGGCACTGTCCTACAAATTCAGACATGATAGAAGGTAATTTTTCCAGTAGGCAGTACAAAGCAGTTCATTTTTGAAAATTAGAGTCACACTTTAAGGAAAACCCACACAGAGAAGTTAAGGCAATTAGTTCTGCACTGTGTGATAAAATGAAGTATTGCCACAAGGTAAGACTTTACAAAGCACAGTGAAAAGAATGGCAGGTTTTCCATTAACAAACATTGGCATTATCTTTACAATACTCTGAAGGGACAAGGGAAAGGGCTTGGATGCTGTCAGAATCCTTGGTTTCTATCTCCTACAGTGCCTGTGCATCTCTGTACAGTTGTAAAGTGTTGCCTTGACATGATAAGGTCCCATCAATAATGCATTCAGTGCTCAGCTCCTTGCTTCGTGCCCTTTCCATTTTGAATCTTGCACCACACAGAAGAGAAAACAAATATCACATTTCCTCCCTATGCTGCAAAGCTCTTTCACAGAACATACAATAGGTATAAAATAACCAGCATACCAAGCATGCTAAAATATCTCAGTGAGACTGCGTGTTTTTTTTTTTAAAAGGTGTTTTAAGTGCAGCCTTCTTTGAGGTTTATTGAGACTGTTGTTAGTTAAGAAGAGCATTATCTAAGTGGCAGCTTGCGCTCGGAATCCCCAATCATATCATTTTTACACCACTTCATGTTGTTATTAGAGCTATCTTTACTTTTTTAGCTTTTTAACCTTTTTTTATTTTTTATTCATTGCGATAAGTAAAAACGAGTGCTCCCTCCAAACAGGCCGCCAATATTTCACAGCCCGCTCACGGGTAACAACCACTTCACAGCAACACAGCTCGACTCCCCAGACAGCAGTGAATTCTGCTACACAAAGAGACCGGGACTCCTGCCATGATTCAACGACGCCCAGAGTCAAGCAAGGTGATGTCACTTCCCTCGGTTACTGTTGCCGAGCTCCGATTTATTCTTCCCCCAACAACTCCTCTTTCCCCTCAGCAGCTGCCTCACCCACCGAGAGGCCTTGCGCTCCGTCGTCCTGGCCGGGGCGCCAACATGAGCAGTGTACCTCAAATGGGCCACAGCCAGCTTCGGAGCCCCGCAGAGGTGCTCCCCCGGAAAGCGAAGAATTCAGCCCACCCCGAAAGACCAGGCCTCCTGCCTCGGGCTAACTCAGCACCATGTGGTTTCCAAGGAAGTGATGTCACTTTCTATCTCGGGGCCTGGGCCACTAAACTCTGAAACACCTCTGTTAATAGAAAAATCCTAAAAAACACGGCGGGGTCAGTCCTTTTCACCTCCCCACTGAGAGCTGATGTGTGGTGAGCGTTCTGGCGCACTATGGCTGCCGTTGCATCATCCAGGTGGGGCTGCACACTGGTGGTGGTGGAGGGGATCCCCATTACCTGTAAAGCACTTTGAGTGGAGTGTCCAGAAAAGCAGTTATTAATTATTACAATTATTATTATTAACTGGTGTAGTCATATGTACTCTATATGATTCTCTGAAACATTTAAATTTGAAATGAAATAATATACATATAGTAATTACCGATAAACTAGATAAGATGTGCATTTTACACATATAATAATATACTATTTTATAAAACTGAAAGCTTGTATGTGTTGGCCTGTGCATTTAATAGGGCCTTTCTAGTTTTCAAAGATGACACCAGAATTGTGGGACACTGCAAAGTTAGATAGACCTTCACAGCAAAGTTAGAAGTGTCACATCTGTTTTGCTAGAGTGCTCGTAAGTATAAAAATAAACTACGTGCTATCCCCTTCTCTGTGAAAAAACGACAGAAAAAAGATCTGCTTCTGCAAAAACTGCAGAATGGTGAGAAGGGGTAAATTCAGACACCACGTGAAACAATCTTCTCTGTAGATAATGTTCACGCGTAACAGACAAAATCTGCTATTAACGACAGAGCAAAAACAATGACAAAACAAGTTTGTTGAAGAATGGATTTTAAAAAGAGAGAGTCTGTGAAGCATGTTTTCTCAAAAAATAAAGCAGAAGCTGGATGATCTGACTTTTATCCCTGCTAACACAAGTAACACACAGACCTGCCTTTACCTTCTACTCTGGAGAATGCAAAACCAGCAATAATAGCAAAAGAAACACCCTCAGATTTAAAATCACTCAGTTGACACTTTTTAAAGAAATAAAACAATGATGAAGTCAAACCTGAATATCCAACACCTTAGCTTCCAGCTTCTATGGTTGGCTACAACAATGTCACAATGACACAATGTTGACATCTCCATAGGGCCTGCAGATCTACAGTACAGTATTTGCCTCTTTGCTTTAGATTGGCAGCCAGTCATTATACAATTCACATTCTCACAAACATTACACTTCCTACAAGTGTGCACGACAGTATGTCTGAACATTTTCTTTCTGAATAATCAAAATGACAGAATTACATTCTGCCAATGAGAGGCAGAGTATGCGAGTTCAGCAATAAGAGCACGTTTTAAGCAGGGTCATGTACAGTCCATCGTATCGTGCCTAACACACTAAAGTCTAGTCTGAATTACCTGATGTAAAGTATGACAAGTGTGCTGATTACCTTATCATATCCAAGGAACCAAATGAAATCTCATCAGTTGCCAGAGAATGACACATACTGTAGATCCCGGAAGTAATGTGCCCTAAGAAATTCAAATTCCCAGCGTGCACTCTTCCTCCACCAGCAAAACAATGTCAACAAAGAATACATAGAGGAAACAGTGAGGAGAAGTTTGGGATCAGAAGTGTAAAAAAATCATTCAGGTTTAACATCATCAACATCCAAACATAAATTATCCACAGCTGTTTCAGCCTAAAGAGGCCCGCTGAGTGCTGGAGCCTAACATTGCTACAGGGATGCAAGAAGTCACAGCTCAGTTCAGTGCCGTCTTGAAATTTGTTTACTCTGAATGCCTTTTGCTAAGAAAAGCAGGGAGAATGTTTTTTTTCCCCTCAAAGCCAGGCTCTAACATTCATTCAAATGTCTTCCCTTTTTTAATACCCTGTAAGTACGCAACAGCCTCCTGTGTTTCCTTAAAAAGAATTAAACATGGTGTGAGGAAAAGGACATGTCTGGGGTGACTTCATAGCCAAACGCCGGCAGGGAAAGAATATTTCTTAACCCTAGGAGCTCACACCCACCAATATCCAGCTCTTACACATTCTGCAGAGTTCCAGGCAGTTAAAATCAAGATACCGTATTTTTTTCCTGAACAATTACGCTAGTGGAGGCTTGTTTTTAGGGAAGAAAGAAATCTAATCTCTCCAAGGAAGGTGCAAGCTGCAAGGCAGGGCTAGACAGGGCCTGGACACGATCTGCAGGGCACACACACACATTCGCTCACATACCGTACACACGTTAGAGACAATTAACACCGGGCTACGTCTTTAGGCTATGGGAGGAAAAACAGGAAAACTAAGAGAAAAGTCATGCAGTCAATGGGAAAACAGGCAAACTAGGCCGGGATCAATCTCACGACTCCTGCTCTGTCAACCAAGAGAACAATCTGCCAAGCCACACTGCCACCAAGGATTATACCAAGCATATAGAGAGAGTACGGGCAGAAAAGCAGGAATGTAAACACCAGGTTGAAAAATGAATGAGCATGTGTATTTAACAAAGCCACGTGTAAACATTTCAGGTTCCAACTGCAGTTACTATGGCTCTGCAGATCCTGTAGCGACAGATTCCAGACACAACAGAATGCCAAAAAGATATAGATTCTTTCCATTTTTTCTTCTTCGGTCAAGTGCCTGGGCTTTAAATAATGCGGTATCTTCGGAAAGGCAAACATACACTGGGAACAGAAATGCCGCACATTCCCTTTGAAAAACAAACGCATAATATAGTATTCAATCACCTTGTAGGCAGTATCACATGACCACTAAAGAAAAGAACAGTAAGATATCACCCTCTCTTTCTGATTTTTTTCTTCTATGTATTCACTGACTGGAAAAAGAACAGACTCACTTCTCATTTGTAAGGGAATGTCTGTTCTTCCCCTTGTCACCACTAAGCACTTCCACGGATTACGATACGAGTTGTACAGGGTGAAAGCCAGCCCTAATCTCGCACAGCTGGGACTATATATTTATCATTTACTCTGGTGGATTAAGCTGGGAAAATGAACCCCAAGGACTGGTGTGCTGACTCTCTCTGGATAGCTGCCCTTTCTGTTCCATACAAAGCTGTAGCGATGTCTTTCAATGTGAGACACTGTTTCGCCTGCAGCCTGTGATGGCACATGTTGTCCAGCCTGTTTTTCAAAGCTCCATGCAGGTACATGACGATTCAGGCTGAAGCTTTGCTCCAAAAGTTAGAACTGTTT